CCCTTGGAAGGCAGCCCCTTGTGGGACCCTCTCTCTGGGAAGGTTGGCAGCTTCAGAACCACGGTCCCTCACCCCAGAGAGAAAACTCCTCCCAGCTACAGCTGGAGCAAGTCCTGGCATGTCCCCACCCAAGGGGACAAGCAGCAGCAAGAGACAGGAGAGGGCTGCAGCTAAAGCAGAAAGGCAGGAGGAGGGTTCCTACCTGTCTGTAGGTGTCCTGGTGGTGCTCCTCGTTCCGGGAGTCGTAGTACTGCTGGATGAAGCCAAAGTACTCCTCCCTTTTCCTCTGCAGGGTCAGCTTCCGGCGCTCCGAGTTGGCAGGGAGATAGCCCTGCAGTGCGAAAACTCAGCTCAGGGCAGCCCCTCCTTCCTCACCAGCCCCTGAAATCCTGCCAGCTGTGCACCCACAAACATCAGGCACACAAATCAGGAGCTAGGGAAAGCTTTAATGGAATTTGGAATAATCCAACTTCATCAGATTCAGCTCCGCAAAAGAGAGTGAACCACTCAGTCCCCGCACCTTTGGGCTTTGAGCTCAAAGAGGATGCAGCAATGGCACTCCCAGATCAAAAATCCCTACAGCTCACCTGGAAGCTGGGCACTGGGCACACACAAGCAAAGCTGGCTATGGGGCACAGGCAGGTGTAGGAGCACGTGTCCCTGAGGTGGCACAGTCCTCCCAGGCTCTGGTGTCACAGCCCCGGTACTTACTGACAGCAGTCTCCACGTCACAGGCCGCACCTCTCTGGGCACTCCAGGCCAGCTGCACTTTCTCAGCTCATCTGCAAACGGACAGTGGTGGCAATGCATTAGATCCTAGGCACGTCCAGGCACCACTACACCTAGAAGGAGAGGAAAGCCCAGTCTGCTCCTGCAGGCTCTGGAGACAATGAGCCTCCAGGAAGGCTCCCACACTAGCAATGACTGGGGATGTGGGTCTGCTGCAAGGAGAGCAAAGACGATTTCAGTCCAGCTCAGGAACAGAACTGGGAGCTGCAGGGTCACCAGTGTGCCAGGACCTGAGTTCTCATGCAGAGCTCAACAGCCCAACCATCATGTGCAAGATGGAGAAGGATTAGGGACAGACAGGGAGAGGTTGGAGGACATCACCATCTGCCAACAGAGCGATTCCTGCACACACCCATCTGGTACAACTGCAGGCAGTGATTTTTTTCACCCCAAAGCAGATCTGATGCAGGCAGCAGCCTCCCTCTGCCCTCCCCTGCCCACCCAGAGGCACCCTCACTCTGCCCCACTCACCCAGGTCGGTGTTGTGGCTGGACAGGAGCTGCCGGAATTTCTCCAGGCGCGTTTTCTCCCGCACGGTCATGGGAGGAGCCCCAGAGGCGTTTTGGTCAGAAATTCGAGCCACGAGGGGAATGACAGGCCGGAGGGGGAGGGACTGCTGCTTCTGCAGGGGGCTCCGCACACAGGCCTCCTCTGGCAAGGAGCAGAGGCTGCACTGAGCTGGGAAAGGAGGTTCCACCTCTCCAACCCCACCTCACACTGTCAGACACTGCAAATTTCCCCTTCTGCTCCTCAGCACCACTGAACTGGATCAGCAGTTCACAGGCACTTGTTTTGGCTCTTCCACCACTTCTCCCCATTTCTGCCTCCTTTTCTTTTACCTGGCTGCAAGTGGATCAGACTCTGCTCGTGGGTAGGACACAGGAGACAAGGCAGAACTGACGTTCAGATCTGCTCTGCTCTCCAGATCCAAACACCAATCAAGCTAATTGCTAGTGCAGAGAAGAGGAGCTGATGGGCTGCCAGTGCCATCTCCTGAGGTTGTCACTGCACAGGCAGACAGGGCAGAGCGAGCAGGGGCTGCTGCTGCCCAAGCTGTGTCAACATGACCTCACCCAGACCTTTGCTAAGAGCAGCACACCAAACCACAGTGGAAGCAAACAGTGAGCAAGTCCCAACAAGAACTTAACAGATCTCAAAACTGACTTAGCACCCAGAACATGGAATGCTCTGGGACAGACATGCCTTTATGCACGGCATTGAGCAGCTGAGGACACAAGCATTAAAGCCAGGCCTCTGAAAATGGCTCCTTGGAGTACATGATATTAAAACGAAGCAAAAGCCTCTGCTGTGTTTAAGGGCTGTGTCACAGCCTCTTGCCCATACTGGGAGTAGCAACAAGCAAGTGTTCAGGGGCCAAGTAAGAGAGCACTGGAGCAGGAGGCTGCTCCTGAAGATGGCTCTTACCAGAGGTCCTGGAGAGCTGGGCCTCGCTGCTGGACTTGATGACCTTGCAGTTGGTGGGCAGGTCACCCAGGGCAGGCTGGCACCGCTCGGGCTTCACCCGCAGCTTGCTGTGGTTCTCCAGAACCTGTGCTGCCGTGGCCTTGGCCACTTTAGAGTTCAGAGTTTGCAAAGAGGATGAGGAGGAGGAGGAGAAGTCCTCGTCTTCATCATCCCCGATGTCCCAGGCGTCGCTGGTGCTGCGGGCAAACTCGTGGAAGCTGGAGGCCTTCTTGCTCTTCATGGGCAGCCCAGCGGCCTTGGAGCGGTCCTTGATGAAGCTGGGAGCCAGAGGAACAGGATCAGAGCCCTGCTCTCGGATGAGTTCATCTTCTTTCCTTTCCCCACGCCCTCACTCCAATCAGCCAATGCCCTTTTTGCAGTTTCCCTGTTCCTCCTCCCAGACCTGAGGAATATGTGAAGTCTCTCTGGGCTGCCCACTGCCAGGAGTGGCTGTCACAGGCTGCTGTGACAGCAGTCTCAGAGGCCACAGTGGCAGCACACAGCTGGAGAGGTGCCAGCCTTCCTGGCTCAGAAAGGCAAAGGAGAGACAGGTACGATTTCTCCAGTTCTGTCTTCCCCCACCCTACACAAAACAGGTAGATTAACACCCAAAAAGAGGTCTTGCCTGGAGAACCTGGAGAGAGGCATGGCAGAGAGACACAGAGCACAGCTCCTTCCATGGACACTCCCAAAACAGCTGCAGTTGTTCCCAGCAGCCAGACCAGCCTGGGTCTGTTCCTCAGGCACAGAAGGAATTTACTCTTAAGCTCCAGGAGCCAAAGTCCACCACCTGAAGCAGGGAACTTTCACCACTACACAGCATGGGACAGGGACAAGGAGGTAGCTCAGACCAGGAATTCTGCCTTTTCCTGCTGGGAAGGCTGCTGCAGTTCTCCAGCCTTGTAGCTGCTGGGCAGCTTTACCTCCCTTCCCCTCAATTCCTCCAGCTCCAAAGAGGAGCAGAAGGATCAGACACTGCTAAAAAAAAAAAAAAAGTCTTTTTCCTTTGATGTGGGTGTTACTGTATGGATTTCTGGCCATAAAGGGCACCAGCAGATAAGCTCTCCCTGCAAGCTTTCACAGAGCTCAAGGCAGCACCACACCCCACTGCTGTCCTTCTTTATTGCAATATTACAGTGCCAGGGATGCTGGAGACCTCCACCTACTGCAGAGCTGAGCCCCAAAGCTGCCAGGCCTTGTGGCCTGCATCTCCAGGAGACAAACACTTACTTTTTGGTGAGCCTGGAATCCAGTGGAGGATGCTGTGCTCCATAGACAGGCTGAATGCTGCAGCAAGGGGAAAAAGAAAAAAACCAAGATGCTGTAAAAAAGGTCCTACAAATAACCTCAGCCTGAACTGGGGTCATGTTTCTTGCCTGCTATTGGGAGCTGAATAAAAGACCAAAAGCAGCTTCAAAAACCTTCTAACTTACAGGATCCAAAATACCACATGCAGATGAAGATTTGTTCTTTGCAGTAGCAAAAAGCCTTGTTTAAACTCTTAGGCCTGGTCCAGCCTGAGCTGGGGTTTGAGATCTGCTCTTTCCTGCACCACCAGCTCACTCCACATGACCACGTGTCTCAGCCTACCTGCTGCATACACTGATATTTGTTCTCTTTTCCAGCAAGGGGAACTCACCCTCCCAGGCCCTGTGGGACAGGGAAGGACTCCAGGCAGTGACACTGGGGCTCCTCCATAAATGTACTTTAGGGTTTGAAGCCCTTTAGGGTTTGCTGGCCCTCAGGACCACAGCCAGTGCCACGAAGAAGGAATGCCTGGCACAGTACATGGTTTGACTCAGGTCCAAATCCTGGTTTAATCAACTACTTCCTATGTAGCCTGAAATGAGTCACCAGTCCCTGGTTCCTTGGGACTCATGGGACAAGGAGCCTGAGGGCTCCAGGCCCTACATGGGGATCATCACCTCAGAGAGGAGCCACCAGAAACACGCTCAGCACTGTTTTTACAGACTCTGGAGGTGAGACAGGGATCCTGAGTTATCACCTGCATTGGAGGAACTATTCACAGCCACCCCACCCTGGAAAACAACCTCTGGAAAACAAGTCCTGCAATGCCATGGCAGAGACAAAGGCCCTTTCAGGGCTGGCACACAAGGAACAAGCTTCTCTTGGGTCAATAGAGCTGGCCTGGTTTCTAGGAGCTGCAGATGGTGCCCAGCAGTAAAACCAGCAGAGCCCAGCCTTGGAGGAGAGCAATGGCAGCCTGGTGCAGCTGGGAACAAGCTGAGGATGCACAAACAACTGATCCAGCTGGCAGGGGAGAGATGCAGAGAGCCAGGGCAGAGGCTGGGAACAACCACAGCACAGAGAGATCCTGGTGGAGCAGCCCAGCCAGGGGTGGGCTCACACTGCAGTGCTTGTCCCTCGTGGTTGGGAGTGCTCACTGAGTTTATCCATCCAGGATTAAGCCTAGGACAGAGTGTGATGACTAATGAGCACCTGGAAGTCAGGACAGCAATTAAGCAGAGGCACCTCCACGGGTGGACATAGCAAAGAGATGATGAGGAGTAAGAGGAACGAGCCCTCCAGATCAACATTGCTTCCCAGTGACTTGTGACAGCTCCCTGCAGGACAGGAGCCAGCAGAGCCTCTCCCATGCCCAGTACCAAACTCACACTGTCCCACGATATCCAGCACAAGGCTCCTCCTCCCTGCCAGGACCCACAGGCTGCCAGTGGGGATTCACCTGGGAAGGCCTGGACTACACAAGGCCAATGAAGGGTGTGTGCTAGAGAGAGGAGGGGATGTGGCAGCCAGTGCTGGGGGAGGAAACCCTTTCCTGGGGCTCTGAATCAATGTTAGATACAATGGCAGAGGGTCCCACCTGCACACAGCTCTTTTTTAAAGTCTTACAACCCAGACACTCCCAGACAAAGAATCTCAAGCTGATCTAAGCTGTGCTCCCAGCCTGACTGGTCCCCTGTTCTGTCCCAGTTTAAACTCTTTGGGACAGGCATTTCCTGTTACCTGGATGTTCACTGTAGGGTACAAGGGGTGACCAATGGTGTGAGGTACAATGGCTGTGTGACACCTCACAGGATCATCACAGGGTGTGGGTTATTGACACTGCAGCAGAGCATAGCCATGAAACACCACTGCCCCTCTGGATACAACACATTCACTTCCAGCAGGCTGTTCCTCCCCTTTTAAAACAGCATTTAAATAACCCCAGCAGACCCTGGCTGCCCATCTCTATAAAGAGCAAGGAATAAACAACACATCACAGAAGACAACACACCAGAGCACTCAGCCAACACATCCCTAGAAAATTACCAGGCACTGAATTCCCAGTGCATAAACCACAAGACAGCACTGGAAAAACAAAACAGCATTTACCAGTTCTAAACCTACACCTAAAATCCACTCTAAATCTACACGGACCAAAAGCTAATAAACTTTATTAGCAAATAAAAGCTAATACAACTAAGTGACCAAACACACAAAGTGTCATGGAAAAGGAAGCTAACACAGTATCCAAGTCCCTACAAAGCCTCCCTCTGCCAGATTGTCAGGGGAAAGAAAGGAGAGAGCCAAGAATCTGAACAGGAGGATCTCTCAAAGCACAGATGAAAAAGAAAGGGAGGTTCATGTCTAGTGACCATGGATGCAGCACATCCCACCCTCTGAGGCAGGCTGCTGTAGACCTGTTGGTGACTGCCTGGAAACAAGCAGCACACAGGAGGTAACAAGGCTCCTGGATCCAGGAGATCTGCCAAGCAGGCAGTTAGGAGAAGGAGAGAACACTGCCAAAAAGTTCCTGATGCAGAGTGTCACAGCCTGCTGGCCAGACCGGTTCACCTGGTTTGTGCTTTCCAAGGCAAAGCCCAGAATTCACCAAATGCAGAAGAGAGCTGCTGTCCAGGACCACCAGCTGAGAGCATGGCTGAGAAATCTGGGTAAGAGACAGGAGCAGCTGGAAATAACCCAGGGAAAGCACAGGATTTTCCTCCCACAGGAGCAGCAGAGGAGGAACAGAGAGCTCCTTGCTCTCCCTTTGCTTACCACAGACATGGATTGTCCAGCCAACCTGAAGGAGCTGCACAGTGACAAGCAGATGAGTGAAAGCACTTTAGAAGGAGATATTTAACTGGCCCAGCAGGATTTAAAGCCAACTAAGCATTTCAGTCTGCACCCCAGGAGACGAAGGGCAGGGTTCAGATAAGGCAAATGAGAGCAAAAGTGAGGAGCATCAGGCATGAAAAGCACTTGAGAGAGCCTCCACAGAGAGGCTGGTGCCCTCTTTCCATGTCAGCCTTGCGACTAGGGGTTGTAGGGAGCCTCTCCTTCACCAACACCAACTTCTTCCTAAATACCGTGTCAATCCCACATTCCACTTGTTTCTGCCATCCCTGAGTGAGCAAAGGTGCCTTGAGAGGAACCAGGACACCACAGCCAGAGGAACTGAGGCAGGGGCGGTACAAGCAGAGCCCTCCCAGTCCTTCTTCTCGAGCAGAGGGGGACCAGGAGAGGTCTGGAGAGGGCAACGGGGGTTCCAGGGGTTATCAGGGACACCCCTTGGGGACAGAGCTGCTGCCACCCAAGGTGCCACCTCTAAGGACTTCGGGAAGGATGAGTTTTCTTCAGGATCTGTGGAAAGGAGGATGGTACAGCCTTGGCTGAGAGCACCCCGAAGTGGCCTCCAAGGCACCCCGATCCCTCCATCCTGCTTCCCATGGGGGGCACACGGGGGTCCCCGTAGCCCCCACACCGCCTGCCTTGTCCTGCAGATGAGGGAGCAGCTCTCACCCTACCCTCGTCCCCTGCACATTACGCCTTCCGCCGGCAAAATTCCCGTCCCATAGCCCGGGGTGACCCTGGCATCCCCTCTATTTCAGGAAGGAACCCCGGGGCCCCCAACCAGCTCCTCAGCCGGGACAGATCCTCCCGGTATCCCCCCAGCTTACAGGGGTGCCCTCAGCCCCAGGAGCAGCCTGGGTGACAGCCCCATCCCCAGGCAGAGCGGCGGCTCCAGCCCCAGCCGGAGCGCGGGGGGCGCGGCCCTCGCACCCCTTCCCCGGAGCTCACCTGCCCGGCAGCTTGGCGCTCCGCTTCCAGAACTGCCTGCCGCTCTCGGCCGCCATGGCGGAGGGCGGGGCGGGCCCGGCGGGCCGGCCAGCCCGCGAGAGGGAGCGGAGACCCCCGGCCGGCCGGCCCCCGGCGCGGTGCGGGGCGCGGAGCAAGGCGCGGCCCCGCAGCCGCCTCAGGGCCGCCCGCCCGCAGCCCGCCGCGCCGCCATCTTGGCTCCGGGCGGGCCCAGCGCCGCCATTGGCCGCTACGCGCGAGGCGTCGCAGATCCACCAATCGCAGGAGGGCATGGTTGTGACGTAATCGAGGGCGGGGCCTGCTGCGCTGGCGGGGGGGGCGAGACCATGGGAGGCGCGGGGGGGGGAGCGGGGCGGCACCACTCGGCTCCGGCAGGGGTGGCCCAGTGACATTTTCTGGGATTTTGGGATTTCTGCTTTTCCAGGGAATTCGCGGCTCGGTTTCATCCCCGCCCTGGATCCCGCTCGCTTCTCGTGTGGCGTTTTATGTCCGGTGAAGTGGCTGCTTCGGTCTGATACGGGAGCTGTTTCTGTTCAGACTTTTAGAATTTAAAAAATTAAATAAATTAAAAATTGCCTCCAGGCAGCGTGGCATTTTCTGCACCAGACGCTATTATTTGTCTTCTTTTTATTTATAGTGCATAAAGCCCATAAATAGTGCTGCAGATTGGAGTAACACCTCTCATATTATTACTATTATTCTCCACCCCACTTGCTCCCATATGGAGCACTGAAGAATAATTATTAATTAGTAATTATGCAAATATTCTATTGTATATGCAAATTAGGGGATAAAATTTCTTCCCACTGCCACCCTATAGCCAATACCTAACACCTGCAGCACAAAGAATTGGGGGAAAAATCCAAACAAATAAACAAAAAAAAATCAAAACCAAAACCCCACACACGTACAAAATAGAACGGCATAAAAAGAGTCAAAAACCTAAACCATTAAAAAAATTAAAAAGCCAGCAACCACTCCAGGACCATGGAGAATAAACGAGAAACAAAGAGTCCAAGCCTGGAATTGGTTGTTTCCACATTTTAGCTATCTGTGGTCTGGGTATTCGTGGTCTATTAATCTTTCTAATATCTACTTTCTATTCCTCTATTTATAGTTTTTTTTATCAGGTTCTCACTGCCTGCTTTCTATTCAGTTTGTTATTAATCTTTCTAGTACCCTCTTCCTATCCTTCCTTTTATTCATGTTTCTGGTATGTACATTTTATTATACTTTTTAATGCCTTTCAATTCACCTTGCTATTGATCTTTCAAGGATCTACTTTCTACTCACCTTGATATTTCTCTTTCTAATCCAAATTGTTAGGGTTGAGGTTTGTGTTAGGATCGAGTTAGGTATTAGGGTTAAGGTTAGGGTTGGGTTTAAAGGTTAGGGGTTAGGATTTAGGGTTTAGTCCTAGGTTTGAGGTTAGGGTTAGGTTTTGGGATTAGGGGTAGGTTTATGGTTAGTGGGTAGGGTTAGGGTCAGGGTCAGGGGGAGGTGATCAATGTTTGGTGTTAGAGTGTATGGATGGGTTTGGGGAAAGGGTTAGGGTTTGATTTAGCTTTAGTTCAGTCGTTAATGTTAGGGTTAGTTTAGGTTTAGGTTTAGGTTTAGGTTTAGGTTTAGGTTTAGGTTTAGGTTTAGGTTTAGGTTTAGGTTTAGGTTTAGGGTTAGGGTTAGGGTTAGGGTTAGGGTTAGATTTTGGTTTAGGTTTAGGTTTAGGTTTAGGTTTAGGTTTAGGGTTAGGTTTAGGTTTAGGGTTAGGTTTAGGTTTAGGGTTAGGTTTAGGTTTAGGGTTAGGTTTAGGTTTAGGTTTAGGTTAGGGTTAGGGTTAGGGTTAGGGTTAGGGTTAGGTTTACAGCCATTTGTTTTCCA